ACTTCTTCAGGTTGCTATATAGTCCAGAACCGGGCGATCGAAAGTCCGGAATGCCAGCAGCTAAAAAAGAGTCATATAATACAGATTCTTGGAGGATCTGAAGTAATACCCACAAGTGGAAATGCCGGCTCCCACCATGGTCACAATTTTCCGGAATCCATGCTCACGCCAATGGTCGGCGAAACCCTCGAACGACAGGTTGGGTATAACCTGTTAATATGATAATATATGGATGGCTTGATTAATGTGATAATTGAATTATAGGTAGCTTCTCTAACCTTCTCCACTTTGAAGTCTGGGTCTGCCTTCGCGTCCGTGGAGCCACCTAGATTAAGAGTGTGTGCAAAAAAGCGACGAATCATATCCATTGTGGCGTCTGAAATAGTAACTGGTTAATAGGTGACAGTAAAAACCTTAGTTGTTAGACAAACCCGAGCCCTCCTCTTCGTCACTAGATGATGAATTTGAGTGTGTCGTCGGTCTCTCCTCCTTTTTCTCACTGTCGCCCATGGCTGGTATAATCCTTGACCTTGGCTGGTGAAAGTATCTGAAACTACGTATTATTCTATAAACTCCCCCCGTTGTTTTGATTATTTGTTTTCCTTTCACGCAAGCAAAACACGCCGAGCAACCAGTGAAAACTATCGATAGAAAAAAGCTGGCAAAGTCGTCATTTCCAACAGCTATAAAATAGCAGGATTTGTATTTAAATTTGTTGTTGCTGGATAATTGCGTTAACGCATCACACAAAACATACCTGTAGACTGAAGGTAAAAGTAAGATTCATGACTACGAATGAAAAACCATATTGACCTTTATTGTTTCCAGACAAAAAAATAATATTGTTATATAAATGATTTGTTCTCTTAATGAATTACCATTGAGTAAAACTCTAAAAATTTAATTTTTCTTAAATAAATTAAGCTAAATATTTTTTAATAATCAAAAAAATCTTTTCAAAATTTACACTTGATTACAATCAATAAATTATAAAGAAAAACTAAACAAAATATTAAAAAAGAACTAAACTAATATTAAAATTTAAGTTTTTAATAGAAACTCCGCCTAGAAACCAAAAAATAGCTATACTGCCACCACCGAGTGCACAGGACTAATCGATAACTGCTATCGTCGAATCCACCGATATGTATTTTTCGCAGATTGCCCTGGTCCAACGTTGTTCGATTACTCGATGTGCGGCGGGGGTGCAGCTCTGGCCGTTCGCCCAGCCCTGGAAAACCACGCCAGTCATTTTTGTTTTGATAAGGATACGGATACAAAAAGAGCGTGGCCTGGAAAAATTGCAGAAACGGCGGAGAAAGCGCCCCAAAACTGAGCAAAAGCGGTGCAAACTGAACGTTGGGCGGTGCGGGACAAAGTGGGCGCGCATTCGAGCATCCCCAAAAGCTACGTGGAAGCGGAGCAACGTGTGGAAGAAGAGGAGAAGAAGAAGCAGCAGCAGCAAAAGTACACAGAAGTGCAACCAGACGGCTAAAATAACAAAAGTCGAAGAAGGCCCAAGGAGCACGGTGGCGGAGGAGGTGGCGGGGCGGGGAATGGCCGTGGGTCGTCGGTGGCTGCCATTGTATAACGCCGATGGGCAGACTATAGATCCGCGCTAGGATCCAATCTCGAATACGATGCATCTGAATCATGCGACCGCCGCCACGGCAGCCATGGCCAACTATCAGCACTACCAGCTGCCAGCCTCACATGGCGGCGGCGGAGGAGGAACCAATGGTGGATCGGGACCCGGACCCAATCCCGGCCAGCAGCAGTCCACCACCCTGGCTAGCCTGCAGCAGAGCCCCTTTGCCCTGCACCAACTGACTGCCGTGCAGGCCATCCAGCATCCCACCCACCAGGCCATGCTCCATCCACAACATCCGCTGGTCCACCTGCTGGACATATCCACCACCACTGCGAATAACGGCGGTGGCGGGAATCACACTCCCATTTCACCCATGAAACAGGAGGTGCAGAGCGTCATCAGCGAGGAGGAGGTGGTGGTGGACGATCCGCGAAAGAAGAAACAGTGCCACGTGTGCAAGAACAAGTTCCGGCAACTGACCACGTTACGCAACCACATGAAGATCCACACGGACGAGCGGCCCTACAAGTGCAAGCACTGCGACAAGGCTTTCCGGCAAATCTCGACGCTGACCAACCACGTGAAGATTCACACCGGCGAGAAGCCCTTCACCTGCAACATCTGCGCCAAGGACTTTCGCCAGCAGAGCACCTTGATCAATCACATCAAGACGCACAAGGGTGAGTGTGTGGGCGAGTCATTCAATTGGAGCTAACGATTTAACTGCTCTTTCGATTCGTTTCCGGGTAACAGCGGCGGAGTCCAGCACGCCGACGTCCCTGCTGAATTATCAGCCGCAGACGACCAGCGGCAAGCACAGGAAGTCGCAAATGCACCAGGCCTACCAGCAGCAGCATCAGCGCGTCCAAATCTCAAAGACCTTGTACTCCGGCAGCTACAGCTCGCCGGCGGCCGAGGAGCTGGTGAAGCCGTTCCAGTGCAGCGTCTGCAAACGCCGCTTCCCGCAGCTGAGCACGCTGCACAACCACGAGCGGACCCACATTGATCCCAAGCCGTACAAGTGCGAGACGTGCGACAAGTCCTTTAGTCAGCAGGCGACACTGGCCAACCACAAGAAGATCCACACGGGCGACAAGCCGTACACGTGTTCCTACTGCCACATGCAGTTCCGTCAGCAGAGCACCCTCACCAACCACCTCAAGACGCACTCGCACCAGATCGCGCCTGGTGGAGGCGGAGCAGGAGGCGGCGGAGGCGCCGTCACAGCCACAGGTGAGCCGCTTGTGTGTTCGCCCTACCAATGAGCCGCTTTCTGTTATCACTGTGTGCATTGATTATTAACGCTCTTCCCTAACGAAGCTTTTATTTAAATCTTGTACGCATGCCAACATCGACAAACCAACCAATCAACTCTATCTCCGTACCGCCAACCTGCAGTGGATCACTCAATGCCCGCTCCTCTGGCGCCCGGGACGCAGCAGCTGACGACTGGGCTGCTGCCGAACCACCTGCACGGCAGCACGCCGAACATCATCCAGCTGGACCACCATCCGCTACTGCATTTCCTCGATGGCAGCACTACGGTCAGCTCTGTGGTGGCCACGGCGGCGGCAAATACCAAGGTGGAGCACTTCCAGGCGGGCGGGTCACCGCCGGGCCGCATGACCGTGGTGGGAAACATCAACATGCTAAAGGGCGACAATCCGGACCGGCCGTTTGGCTGCAGCGTGTGCCAGCGGTTCTTCTCGCAGCAGAGTACCCTGGTCAATCACATCAAGACGCACACCGGCGAGAAGCCGTACAAGTGCAAGATCTGTGAGGTCAACTTCCGGCAGGTGGCCACGCTCAACAACCACATGAAGATCCACACCGGCGAAAAGCCCTACAACTGTTCCTACTGCCCCAAACAGTTCCGGCAAAAGAGCACGCTGCAGAACCACCTAAGGGTGCACACCTGCTAGACTCAATCCCGATCCAGGTCGCGACGCGATCCAGGTCCACAGCCAGCCAGCCAGTCAAGCAGCCATTGAGGAATAGTGCAATATGCATGCCACATAGCACATACACTTATAGATCGCATATACGGCATACGAATACGATTACATGAATACTATATTTGAATATATACTCGAAAGTGTTATTTACCTGCTGTGCAGAGCGCAATTGTATGTAACTATATCGTAGAGAGCTGATCCACATGCGTGTCCAATTGTAAATTAAAGCTAGCCGTATTCGCGTAAGCCACGAATGATATGATACAGGGTGTTTAAGCCTAAACTCTATTCTATCTTAGAATGGGTCGATTTGAATCGGTGCAAAAAGTTACCTTCTAAGTCAACAAGCCTAGAACTATATATATTTTATAATAGCTTTGATTCTTTCCTTTTCTAAAACTACAGAGTTTAAATTACGTTCATACAATTGGAATATTTTTTAGTTTTTACAATAAATTTAAACGGCACTTAGGTCTTTCATATTTTATACCTGTTTTGTTATAACCTATCACTTTAACAAAGCTGTTAAATATTCTAATTATTTTCTATTTTTTACCTTAGTGTTTTCTTTACTAGGAACTTGTTTTTTAAAAAAGATTTGTTATAATTTTATGTTTGTATGACTCAGGCGAATTGGCTTAAAAAAGTTTTGGAGATTTCTTCTGCACCAAAGCTTCTTTCTCAAACAAATCGATCCAAACTGAAGCTATCCCCCTTTGCAACTGTTGTCACCCATGCCCCAGTCCCCTCGATCCCTACCTATTAGTTCCGAGTATCGGCTTCTCTCAGCTTTTCTCGTCGTGTTAAATGTTAAGCCCGCCAGCAAAGTAAAGTAAATTAATTAAAAGTAAAACTAGTTATTGCTATACTGTGTGTAAACCCCGCCCGCTCTAAACTTACATAAGGCATCATCGGAACCGAACGAAACGGAAATCGAAAAAGCAACTATTTAAATAAGTGTACTCTTAGCGCATATTTAGCAGCATCTTCTACTCACATGACTACAAGCGGAGCAAAGGCGATCGCATAAATAATCAATAATACATTTAATGAACGAAGGATTGAAAACCGGGTTGCTTATAGAACAAAAACTAGAAAACGGAGAGACAAGAGTCCCTAAATTAAGTAAATCGATGATGAAAGAAAACGAGTAAAACCAGCTATAATTGAATTGACAGAGATCGATCGTAAATGTTGTAGAGAATATATAGTATATATAAAAATATATAATATATAAACTACTTGTAAATGTAAGCGAAGCGAAAAGCTAAAACAACAATAAAACATGCAAAACAAATTTTTCAATGTTAGTTTCTTTTCATTTTTAAATTGTGGAAGGAATCATTTATTTAAATGAGATGCAAAAGTTTTAAGTCTTTTAAATTTTGACCTTTAGTAAGTTAAATAAACGTCTTCCATGTTAAGCACCATCCTCAAAAGAAAACACAATTGCATTGACTTGAAAAAGGGGAATTTATTAATTTTTTAAGGTATGAAGTTTTTTTTGGGAAAGGGAAAAACAGGTCGTGTATAAGAGATACTAAAAGTAATTGCTACAAGCACTTTTACGCTAAATCTTTAAGGTATGTTGCATTGTCTATAAGTGCTGTTTTAAAGGGCAGAGCCTCTCAAGCATTTTTTATTTTTTCACTCCAAATCATGTCAGAATCGGAAAAGCAAAATATCTAAATAGTAGCATTGGTTAAACTGGAATTTATGCGAAATCTGGTGCATCTACTCGTACGTGTGTGTATATTTGTTTATATCCGACATCCTAACCTACCCAAAGGGTCTAACTTGAGTAAAGAGTTTCCAGGGATACATGGGAAAAAAACTTGCACATGGACGTTGTCTGCGGGAGACTCTTGGATTGTTGGGACTTACATACGAGAAACACTTAATCTTATACATAGTTCGTGATTAGACTGTCTCACAACGGATGTTCTGGCCACGCGCCTCGGCCTGGGTTTAAATCTCTGGCAGCGTGCAAAGGCATTTGAGTAGGACCAAATGTACAATTCAGTAAAGCATATACATACGTTGTCTGTACTTTAGGGTGAGTATGTATATATATATATATATAGTTATCTATAGGTTGACCAAAAGTTTGCTTAAGCCTAAACAAAATGACACCAACAGTGACTCCGCCATTCTATTTGAACAGCCAGCGCAGGATCAGGCTGAAGGTCAGCCCGATCAGAGCGTAGATTAGCGACTTGAATACCGTCGACTGCGACACGCCGCCGCCTAGTAAGTGATGCGACTGCACGCTTAAGCTGCTAGACGGAGGCGAGTACTGCATGCGCTCCAGGCGCTGGCTAATCTCGTTCAGCTGTCGGGTGTGCAGTTCCAGCACACGGTTCACCTGGTCCACGGCCAAGGCGAGTCTAAAATTAATAAAATTTTATTTATTAAAGATCTGATTCAGAAAAGTAAACATGACCAAAGGTCTACTCACTGCTTAATAGCGCTAGAGGAACTGCGCTTAACCGCTCCTTGTGGCGACTGACTAGAGTCCGAGTTAGTATCGCGCGGCGCCAGCACCAAGCTCTTGTTCTTGGCCTTGGACACTGCGGGTATGGCCTGTCCGGCCGGCGATTGTCTTTGGGTGCGGGAGAGCGTCTCGAGGGAGCTGCGCAGGGGATGGATCATTTCGGCGCCGTGGACAATGGGCACCGACTTGTGTCGCGTCTGAGTTAGCACCTTAAATTGGCACTCATACTGGCGGACATCGTTGCGGGAGTCCCAAGGCCGGAGATCGGCGTACTTGTACAGCCACTGGCCGTAGCTGTCGAGCTCGAAGAGTTCCGGCATATGGGTGGATTCGGTGCTGGCCCGCTCCTTTGCATCGGCTCGCTGGCGCTCTTCCAGCACGGTCTTCTCCTCGGTGGCGGCCACCTGATCCTCGCGGGCAATCGCATCGGAGACGTGCTGCCACAGGCGCTGCGATTCGTTGGGGTCCTGCGACTCCAGCGGCACCATATGGCGCGTAAGCCGCTTTGAGCGCGTCTCGGCATCCACCCTGAACAGCAGCGTTTCCTCTCCCGTCTTGGAGTCCTTAACGCGACACTCTTTGTCCCAGTGACCGTTAATGGTGGCCAGCGTCTCCTTGCCCAGCTTGATCTTGCCCACAACCACGTTGGTAGCATCGGCGCCGCCGAGGAACGGCTTCAGCTTGAATTCCAGCTCCGTCCTGTAACCGGTGTTCTCACACTCGATGTTTATCTTGCCGCCCAGCTCCATGGAGAGCGTGCCCATCAGGATGCCCTTGCAGTGTGCGTACGGCGATGTCGCCGTATAGCACTCACCGCGCGGCAGCAACGTCATCGTGGCAGCGCCCTCAAGCACCGCCGAGGTGCTGTTGCCGTAGAACTTCGATTTCGCCAGGATGGAGCAGGTGATGCTGAAGCCGTCCTCGCGGTTCGTCACATAAAAGGCCGACACGGGCGGATGGTGCGAAACCTGCTCCGCAATGTAGAATGTTCGGCTACCGCTGGGATGCTGCCAATAGCACCGGAATCGCTCGCCAAGAATCGGATTGTAGGGTTTCTTAAGGCCTTTAGGTTTCTTGTAGAAGCTGGACAGGTACCATTGCACAACTAGCTTCATGCGCGTGAAAGCGTCATCCTCCTGCACGGCCCTGATTTTTAGAAGAGATTACTAATATATTGCAAAGAGACATGGGTAATCAAGTAGAACCCACTTGGAGAGCAAGTCCGCATGGTAGTACGAGTCGGATAGCTTGTCCAGGAAGGAACGCGGCTCCAGGATAAACGTGGGCAGCACTACCTTGCTCAGATCCATCCCCGGTCGCACCTGCTTGACAATGCACCAAATTAGGCTCTTGTTCTCGTCTGCCAACTCCTCTACCTGCTCCCCTTGCTGCAAATAAATATAATGTTGTTAGTTCGTTGCCAATTAGAATATCCTTATAGCTTACCTCGCCAAACTCCTCCTCGGTGAAGGGCACATACGTGGTCTCCTCGCACTGCTGCTCAACGCCATCATCCTGCGCTGGCTCTGCCGGATCCGACTCGGATTCTGACTCCAGACCAGACATGACGGCATTGGGTGCTTCATTCTGGCTGTCTGCGTCCAGATCTGCAAAAATATTCAAGCCAATAAGATAACATTGTAAAACAGCATAGGAATCACAGACATTTCTCTAGCAGCCTGAGTCTGGCGAAGATCAGGGGATAATTTTCCACCTGACACTCGGGCTCAAAAGCAGAATACTGTGAAGGATCTGTAGCACTATGAGTAATCATATGTGTAGAGCGAATTATCGAAACATTGGGATATTGGCTCCCTATGCCAGGCGGTGAGTATAAAAAACACGAATTTTGAACCATTAATTCCACTGCTACTATGATGTCTGATGATGACTAGCTAACTTAGGGGGCACCAAATCGGAAGATTGATAAAAGCGTTATTTCTCGAAATCAAATTTAAGATTGTGATTTAAAATACGGAATAGGCAAACAAATTGATGTTTAAATATAATACCAAAATATTATTAGATTGTTATTCAATTTTTTATATATTATATATATGTTGTTTAAATTTTCGAACAGTGCATTACTCTAAATGGTCTCATTAAAATGACATTTTAATATTGTCAAAAACTCAAATAGGAATATTTTCGCATAAAAAAAGCAAAATAAAAATTGACTTCCGATGTGATCTCCAACTGAATGATAATCAACCAACTAAAACGACAGCAAAGAGGGGGCCATTTTCACCCTTGACATTCAGACGAAATCGTGGCATCATTAGACAATCGGGCGGAGCGCTGACGGGGCGTGTGCCCGTCTGGCTGTGATCGTAGTCATCGTCGTCCTCCTCACTGGAGCTGCTGTTGCGCAGGGTGGCTCCCAGGGACATGGACTTGCTCATGGGGCTCAAGTGACGCCGCTTACGCAGAACCATGCCCATTGTCATACCCCCGCCCATGCCCTGCTCTGCGCTGGAGGCATCGCTGTACGAGGTCTTCCGCTGCTCTGACTGATGACCGAAACGGGGCAGCCGCTTGGTGCGCTCCCAGTTGCTAACGGCGCTGGTGTAGAGCTGCTGCAGCAGTGGAGTGGGTGCCCGCGAGGCGGACAGGCTGGTCTCGGAGCGCGTGATCTCCGCTTCGGCCGAAGGCAGTGCCAGGAACTGCGCCCACTTACCTTGATCGTTGAAGTGCTTCTCGTAGTCCGCCTCCGACCATTGCGTCTCATGGGAGACGGGCAGCGGTTCACCCACAAAGCTGGACGATGGAGCCGTTCCCGTGCTGCTATTGGTACGCAACAGCAGGGCCGAACATCTCAGGGACAGCTCCAGGGCATCCATCCAACACTTGCCGGCCGCTTGACTGGGAGCCCGAAAGATCAGGTAAGCGGTTGGCAACGGTTGGACCACGGCACCTTAAGGAATTAGTTAAATTAGTAATTGCTTTCACCAGATTTGCTTTTATTTATACAGATTTGGTTAAATATGAATTATCACAGAGGTATTCAAGTTAAACACTTAATTATAGGTCAAATCAACGAAATAACTTTTATATTGAAATACTTTAGCAGGTATTTTATTTCGCTATTATAAAGATTATCTTAAAACCGGTTTACAGGCAACAATTAAATTTACATAACGTGTGGAACCAGAAAATCTTATAAAGTTTTTTGATATACCATATATAATGTTAGACAAGAACAAACCATTCATTCTGTGATTGCGTGAACCAAAAATGTATGATTTCAAATTAATTTACCAATGGTTTCCTTGTCGGGTCCTCGCGGCGCCCAAATGGACTGTTCCAGGGGATGGAAAAGCTTAAAGCAGAAGCCATCCTTTTTGCTGGGCCTCTCGATCACCTGGCAGGAGGTGAGCATCACCGTGCCCACCCAGTGGCTGCTCTTCGTCTTTTGACTTTTGTAAATAAGCAGCAGGCCAGGCTTCAGAACACACCAAAGTTTTGTCCAGGACTTGAGGGTTCCTCGAACCTAAAGGATATTTGAAATTAATAAAATGTAAGTAGTTGAGTATATTCCATGCACACCTTAAGCCAATCTGCTAGCACTATGACCGCAGGATCTTGCAGGGAATTCATCAGCTCACTGGCCACGCGCTTCTTCTCCCGTCTGTAGTTCTTCCTTTGGGCCTTGTATGACTCCTTTCTATTAAGTTTTGCGGCATCAGCAGCTGACTGTTGGCAACAGAAATATAATGAAATTAAAAAAAGTACAAATATTAAATACATGGCTGTATAATAAACCTTTTTCCCATTGCAGCATTGAAAAATATTTAAATACTTAAAATACATTGCTGTATTTCATAATAATTTTGTTGGGTGTTTTCGGATAATTTTTGCCTGCGGTTACGTCAAATGTTCGGCAACAATTGCCTAGTAAGCTTTTAATTTTCTAAGGCGAAATCCGAAACGCATTGTTAATCTAATTAGCATTTATAATTTGCTTAGCTGCCGGATAAAAGTGAAACATTTGTCACTTTTATGCCAGAATGTGACACGTGGCGTTTTCCGGACCCAGACCTATATTTATTAATATTTATCACACAGACAGCACATCGATTATAACTAAATTAGACAACAACGAACCGTAGCGGCTCTTATCTCTGCCCTCCCCATAAATAACCCAGATTTTATGTACGGTTTAACAACTCAAAGTTAAAGTTATGTTTGCGTATGGGTTACTTGCCTTATCTGCCAGATTGCCATCCCGATTGTCTGAGGCCCAATTGGCGATTCCTGAAATATGGAGAATCATAGTTTTGTTGTTTATGAACTGAGTATCATTGGAGTTGGGTGTGTTTTGTATATGGAAAACATGATGATTTGAATTCCGAGAAGTATCTAATCGATCTAGCAATGAAATAGTAGGTTTCTCTTTGTTTTTGGAAACTTTTCCATCGCCTATTTACGATCCCAAAAACGAGACCAAACAGAAACACAACAATGGGAGGAGCGCGAAAAATCCGAAACATAAAGAAGAACTCAGAGAAGAGAAGAAAAACTCGCCCCAACAATGTTTCAAGGTGCGATAATCTAGGTGGGCAGGGAGGACCGAGGGTCAGCGGTTTATTTATTTTACAAATATGTTTTATTTTATTTCGCAAGATACACAGGCACACACACGCACACACACAGCACAGACACATCGGGAGAAAGATTCTCTGGGTCTTGGGGTCTCGAGATCTCGATCTCTCGTACCGCCTGGCATTGTCAAGTGTCTCGCACTTGCACTTTAATCATCGCCAAACTGACGCTGCCCTCGGGTCTTTCGCATTCTTATTAATTATTTTTATTGCTCGGCTAAAAATAAAGGCCTCCCAAGAAGAGCCAGTCTCTTTAAATATGCAAATCCACACATAGACGCGAGGAAAAAAAAACGCGAAGAATTAATTCTAATTTCTCTGGAATTATGGGGTTTAATAATTGTCACTTGCTTTGTAGGAGATTCATGACCAGACACCGCTGCAAACTGCGTTTCGAATTTGTATTTCTATTTATTTTTGCATATTTTGTTGTGTTTCGCTCATTCACGTTTTACAGGGCGGCACTACATGGCGTATGCGTGATGCGAGAACCGATTCAGAGACGCCGACCTCTGCTTGGTTTAATTTATTTATTTATATTTTCTTTTCTTTATTTTCAACTTTCTGCCTGCCGCTCGTCCGCTGGCCGCTCGCCGACTGATTGAGATATATTGAGTCTGCCCGAAACGCGCGCACAAAGCACAAACACAACAAAAGCACCAGCGGCAAATGACAAAAGCACCAAGGCAGCGCAGCGGCAGAGAGCCAGCCGACCCCACTACAACAATTATCTGGCTTTCGTCATATTTTTGACAAAAAAAGAAAAAGATATACAAAATATTTGCAAAGCCAAAAAAAAATCTAAACTGAGAAGATCATCTCTGTGTGTTTTTTTCGCTCAGTCCCCAATTCTGCCAGCAAGTTCTTTATACTCATGCGTGGATATAGAGATACTTTGTGTGCTTTTTCTGCCCAGATAACGATATCAACGCTGACTGCGCTCTCTCAAAATTTGAAACACAAACGGGAGAGCGGCAAACCACTACCGGTAATATCTATGAGGCTATTAGCAAGTCTAACTGATATATGATCACACCTTAAAAATGTTTAAAAGTAAGTAATAGCCCCTTTGTATGGCGGAATTTGAACGTTTTCTCACGATAAGATCATATTAACCTATCCCAATAAAGACATTTTAGAATCGGATTGAAAGGTTTGGTAAATGAATAAACAATTATTTTTTTAACAGAAAAAATATCAATCTCCTAAACGACTAAGACTCAAAAAGCTCAAAAATTCCCAAAAATTATAAAACATTTATTGATCTAGTAAAGATAATAATTATCGAGCCTTTAATTAACCATTTTTGTTTGTGCTTTGATGTTTTGAAAGTTTTTTATTGACAACATACTCATACATATTGCAAAGTCCAAAGAAGCACCTGGGAAATATATCATAATTATGTCAGTCGGATAAGCCCCTTTGAATACAAGTTTTTAGGCCGACCATAGATAGAAAACATTAAACACCTGTTGATGTTATGTGGGCCATGAAAAAATAATATCCAAAAAAAAGCCAGGTGTGCAGAGTTGATATCTATATTTCCTCCATTACTCATCACTAAAATCAGAAGTCTGTGAATCTTATCAGCCATGTGGAGCACTATAGATAAAGGAAAATGTTATACCAGCTGATTTGTCATATTCATGGTTCCTCAGGTCCAATAAATCCAACACAACATGGATGAGTCATTCGACTTCTCTGCAACCCCTAGGGGAAATCCTTGAGCATTTCAATATTTACATACTGATTGATGTGTTTCTATGTATATGTATTAATTGGGTCTTATCAAAGTGCAAAACTTCCAGGCTGTAAAACGCTTATGAGTGTCATAAATGTTAATGATAAGATATGATTGCCATGGCAAGCATTTATCCAGGGTCCTCGGCCGCAACGGGCAGAAGTTGAGTGGCAGGGCACTTTAAGTATTATTAATAATACTCTCGTACCGAACAATCGCAAAATCGTTTGATAATAATGCGCCAAAAACAATAGCACAAAAAGCGCAACAAAAGCTCTACACAAAAATAAAAGGCGAAATGCGTCACACCAAAATTGGAACGCATGGCTGGGTTGTCAAGGGGGGTTTCTTGGGTGGGGCGGGTTGCCATATGGGAAATGCATACAAATGCGCCTTTAGCCAGGTTCTATTTGGTGTGCGGATCAGGTAATAATCATGAACATTAAGAACGTGCTGATTGTGTAACTGAAAGCATAGCAAATGCCAAAATTTCAAACGTCATGATTGTGTTCAGGATCGTGCCGATCGAGTAAGTCAAAATAATAATTATTTGCGATGATGAATGGAGAAGTGCTGCGGATGTTGTATAACCCAATAATTGTTCAAAAGTGGCAATCTATAATTTATATATTTTGTTTTGCTAAACGGGCGCTGGAAATAATTTCTAACATGTGGATCGAAATCAAAGAAAATCTAAATAAAAATTGAATAACCAGATGATCAATGAGGATTTTGGGAACGTGCTGATCGAAAAGATCAAAGCAACAACTTCATTTCAGCTTATCGATAACTGATGATCATAAGTCAATGCAAAACGCATTAGTTAATACTAATATAGAAATACAAAATATTAAGGAAAAATAAAAGCTTATAAAGTATGGGAATGATGGTGACATTGAATGATCGATACAGTGATGATCTACTGTTTGTTCAAATGTGCTAGAATTTTCATTTATTTTTTTGGAACTTCACCTGGCGATGATGGCGCCGGACTGTTGCTCAAACTGTCCGTGGACGGAAGTTTGGTCATGAGCACTTTTAGCGAAGGTCGCCGTTTGAATTTGAAATCGAATACTGAGGAGCAGTTAGCGGCACACATATACATATACGGGGGAGAAAGAGAAAGCGAGCAATATGTATTTTGATAAATATTATATAGGATTTTATAGATCTTAGGTCACTGGTACAGACAGTTTTAGAAATACGCACGACACATAGACATTTAAGTTCTTACCACATCAAAACAGACACATTGAACACACAGAATGTCATACTAATTCTCCGACAGATACAGATATCTACACAGCGAAAAATCTTGGGTAAATCAAGATAATAATCAAAACATTGAAACACATAAAATTAGTAAAGAGTTTGTGGAATATGTAAAATAAAGGGTCTTTTTAAAATATTACAAAGAACACCAAAAGATAGCTCACCAGATCAATTAAAAAGCTAGCGTAAAAGTCAAATATTGTTTAAATAATAAAGCTCTTGAAAATAAATTCTTCCTTAGTCCAGTTGATTACAGTTTAGAGTGGGGATTCATTGAGAGGACTGAGCCTTAAGCCACTTGATCCAATCAAGCGAGAGGAAGCCTCGAGACAACGCCCCCGAGCATATCCATTACCATTACGGCCTTAATTATGGCCGCTCATCAATTGTCTGCTATCGGACATGGGAGCTCAGCACGCAGCTGAAGCGCCATCGAGGAACGCGAGGAGCGCCAAGGAGGCGCCTGCCTGGCTGGTGGCAATTAAGATTGCGATGGCGATGGCGATGCTGATGTGGATAGGGGTTAGGCGATTGGCGATAGGATGGTCGAGACAATAGAGTGCCCTGATTGATTTTAAATAAAGCGCCATCGCCTTGCAGGCAATCAATTTACGCAATTAGAACACGCCTCCGTTGTTTCAATAGTTCAAAGTTCAGCTTGCCCACATGCTTGCCATGCACTAAAGGAAATAAAGTTAAATATTTTTTGGTACACGAGAGCTGCGAAAAACAATATGATCCAAAATCAATTCGATATAAAAGTTAAAATAGTACTTTATGTTTTAAATACTACTTGGACAATGTTATAAAATGTCTTTTAAAAGAGTATTATAGGAATTTGATATTGTATAAATAGCTATTTACACTTGGAACTATTAGAAAATCTATAGGTTTGCCTCTTTGGAACTAATACTTTTTAAATTAAATAAGATCGAGTTTATTTTTGGCAGTGTCCTGTCGTTCCGGGGAAAATTACGGCCATGGTATGCGAAATATTCCCCTTTGCGTGTGGTAGTTCACTAAATTCCCGGCCGAAGGATGCCAGCTGATGCAAGACAGTGCAGCACTGAAAGTGCAATTTTGAGTTGCCCGCTGGGCTTGGCCCAAAATGACGTCATATTTGGCCGCTAAAATGGCGCCACTCTAAATGACCCCCAACCTCTACGACCCCGCCACAAAGTATATTTTGTTGCTTCTTTTTTACGTAATCCAATTACAATATAGTTGGCTTTCTGTTCGAGCGTGTGGGATTTTGGGGTCATTGGAGAAACACTTTATGGTGTGAGGTCGGTCACTATATTTGATGGCCTATATAGAGACTTCAACTATAAACTTCACTCAAAATGTGTCAGAGATCAATGGGGGACCAACACAAAATAACACTCAACTTATACCCTTTGCGTCCTAGCCCTTGCTCTAATGTTTTATTTATTGGACGGTAATTTGCCCAAAAGCATGCTATAATATATTCATCGAAACACACACATACACACCCACCCTTATAAACTTTCTAAAAGGAAGGCACACAACCAAGTGACTCGTTGAGTATGCAAATGCAGTAAATCGCATATTTCGGCTGATTCCCTCTAGTACACAGAGAAAAAACATAACATCAGTTCTATACTCTAATCTTCATATTATATATAATTGATTGGGTGTCTATAAAAAATATTATTAAATATATGTTCGTAATCTTTTAAATGCATTTGTTAAATATATGAAAAAAAGCAATACCAAATTGAGCAATGTAGTTTTTCTATGTAAGCTACATATATAAATATTCTGCATTCTCTATCTCACTTTTGACCTTTTGGAGAGGAACACGAATTCAGCGAAAACAAAAATAGAATGCGACGAAACTGACCCACTACCCAACCTTTCTTCACCTCCTTCGCGAAGGGCCATTTAAAAAAAGGGGACTGTAAAACAGACATTCCAGATGTAAGCTTTAAAAAGGATTTGTTTTGTAAACTGCTTATATAATAAAAAATAACGTATTAACACGTAAACTACTTATTTTTATACCCTTGCAGAGGGTATTATAATTTTGGTCAAAAGTGTGCAACGCAGTGAAGGAGACATCTCCGACCCTATAAAGTATATATATTCTTGATCAGGATCACCTCCTGAGTCGATATAGCCATGTCCGTCTGTCCGTCTGTCCGTCTGTCCGTCTGTCCGTCTGTCCGTCTGTCCGTCTGTCTGTCCGTCTGTCTGTTTCTACGCGAACTAGTCTCTCAGTTTTAAAGCTATCGGATTGAAACTTTGACACACCCTTCTTTCCTTTGCACGCAGTATATAAGTCGGAACGGCCGGGATCGGCCGACTATATCCTATAGCTGCCATATAACTGATTGATCGGAAATGCCATAACTTTCGTGTTTGTAAAGTTAGGAAGTTGGGATTTTCTATGGGTTTTATATTTGGCCAATCAATCCGACCTACCAAATTTCATAAGGATCGGCCGACTATATCCTATAGCTGCCATATAACTGATTGATCGGAAATGCCATAACTTTGGTGTTTGTAAAGTTAGAAAGTTGGGATTTTCTATGGATTTTATTTTTGGCCAATCAATCCGACCTACCAAATTTCATAAGGATCGGCCGACTATATCCTATAGCTGCCATATAACTGATTGATCGGAAATGCCATAACTTTGGTGTTTGTAAAGTTAGGAAGCTGGGATTTTCTATGGCTTTTATATTTGGCCAATTAGTCCGACCTACCAAATTTCATAAGGATCGGCCGACTATATCTTATAGCTGCCATATAACTGAACGATTGGAAATGACATAACTTTGTTGTTGTTAAAGTTAGGAAGTTCGGATTTTTTATGAGTATTAAGAATGCATCATATGAATAATTTTGGAGAATATAATTTACAGAGTATTCTGCAAGGGTATATCAACTTCGGCTCCGCCCGAAGTTAGCTTTCCTTTCTTGTTTTTTCATTAAATTGTTTTTAATCTTTTAAATCTCATCCTAACAATTTATGAAATTTATGAAATAACTCGTTGCTTTTGAGTGTCTTGGGTTTAAAGCAAACACTCGAGGACATAAATAATTAATTGTTATACCACATTCTACATAGAAATCAATTCACTTAAGCCCTGACTAGCCCAGAAATGAAGCCATCATACAAAATGCAGTCATGCATCGATTTTTCTTCTATTTATTTTGTACGCAATTTCCCTTATTGCACATATTAACATTTCCATGTGCCACAGATACTGAGAGCGGGACAGTCGGATGGGGCGGTGGGGTGTTTACCTGTTTGGCAGGTGTGCGCTTTTCTAAACATTTATGACATGCAGTTTTCCTCACAGTTTTCCAATGCGGGTACTGTTTATTCGCACCCACTGTGCCAAACGCCTGGAGCCGCAAAATAAAAAGCAAAAGAGGAGGCGAATACAATGGTAATTATAAAGTCGCGTTGGGTAGGAAAGTAAGTAAGAGTGTGAGTGCTTGTGTCAGGTAATTGCGTATATATACGATATAGGCTACAGAAGAGTGGACCTTAGGTGTACTAATGTATTAATATATATCATATTTTTAAAATATATAATAATGGTTTAAAAAATAATAATGGCTAGACATATTACCTTTTCGCAAAGATTTTCCTTTAAATTATGTGTTAACAAAACCAAATTATTAAAACCTTAACCTTCAGTTGTTTTAGCCACAACACATAAAGGTCCACCCTAATTTACACCTTTTCATATATGTATTTTTGGAGATAGTGTTTAGCAATGGATATATATCTGGACTATAAAGTAATACAGCATGCGAATAAAAAATTAATGACAGTTGCACGCCATAAAGCAAACAATAAACAACAGCAACAAACCACAATGACATCGAAGCAAATGGTGCGTGTGCAAAATCCCGTAGACCGATATGGTTACCTGGTAACCCACCTGGCCATCCCAACCCCCAACTAACAACTCACCCACGCCCCAGGAAAATATAAAGCAAAAGTCATATGCTAATCGATAAAGCGCATAAAATATGAAATGGAAAACCCAAACAAAAGCTAGCTATCGACTAATAAACTTACTAATTGCTGTTCAACTTTACCGGCAAAAAAAGCTTTTTACTTCCATTCTTAAAATCTACCTGAATTACTGAAGCTTAGAAAATTTTCATATGCAAATCGATAAAAAGAATAAAGTACTCAGAAATAATTGATGTGTCACTTTATCTGACATTTGAATGGCAGTAAAATTTTCATTCCATATGCAAACATCCTTAATTGAGATTCGATGTGAAAATGTTGGTCTATTGTATTAACACTATAGGCAGTCATTTAACCGATGATACCGAAATAATTATCTTTCAATATTGTTTAGTTGAATTTTACTGAATCCATAAGATATTCTGGAAAAAATATAGTGTTCATTTTAACATCAGGAGAATGATCTCATCTCAAACTAGTAAATTCAATTAAGTCAACTTGAAAAACTTTATATATACTGACAGAACGTCGCAGATGGTCTTTTTGTGATTTATATACAAAAGGCAAAAATAAACAGAAAAAAACAGGCAATGGGAAAATGGTTTAATTGTATCTAACATGGATGAGCTAATATAATGTGATGTCATCCCTAGGAATGTATAATAAAAATACTATCAACATTGTCAAATAAATGACTTTTAAACAAAACAACTATAATATTTGTTATTAATTTTTATTTTGAATAAAATACTTTCTTATCCGCTTTCTGAGTTAAAGGAACATTTTGGGTTAAATATACATCATCTAATAGGATGTGATTCATTCCTATGAATGTATAATAAAATTACTTGGAATCGAGTTATGAAGTTTATTAAATAAATAACTTAAAAACAGAAAAACAAAAATATTTCAAAATTTACTCAATGCTTTCTGATCTGCCTTCCGAGTCAGAGGAAAAATGTCTGTTAAATTTCCTATAACTGGCAATGAATGCGGGTTAACCCAATTATATGAATAATCTACACAAAAAACTTAATTACGCTGTTACTTGATTATGAACCGGCAGATGAACATCGGCCGGGGGAACTAATGCCTAGAAACCAGCTGTAAAAATTGACAAACCTTGGCCGTGGGTTTCCGCACAGGTGCAAATGGCAAGCGCCAGTTAACCAAATTGACAGTCACCGAGCCTCCAATAGCCCCCAAAATATCCGGACTAACAAGTAGCCTAGCAACCAACCAGTCTGACAAAAGAGCCAGACAACTGGTATGTAAATCAATTAACACCAGCGACTAAATCTCGCATGGATGAATGGGCCCGCAGAGCGGAAGCGCGCTAAATGACGAACAAAAGCCGAGTGTTAAGCGATAACGTGGCCCCTGGGATCGAGTGGGATTACGGATGGATGGGGGTACGGATTAGCCGGCAAGCGGCTGATGAATGAGCAAGAATTTTGAAATGTGAGCAGCAGCAAAATCAAAACAAGCAAAGCACACAGCATACGGAAACGAAAATTAAAACTGAACAAAACCAGAAGCAGACAATCAGATCGAATGTACAAATGCGGTCAAAACATGAGCTTTAAAAGACTATCGAAATGTGTTCTAATCTTCTTATCTTCTAATTTTCCACTCAATGGTTTAAATGGTTTTTATAGCTTTATATAGTTCATACAAATTTATTTGTTGGTTTGTTTTTGCTTGTTTGCTGAAATTTAATTTGTTTATTGAACGGAGGAATGTGAGTCAATTCATTGATTAATATTTATCATTATTGATTGATACATAAGTTGATAAAAGTTTAGATTAGATAAGGTATAAAAAAGTGCACTATTGAGTGCTATATTGAGGATTTTATTGCGAATCAGTAAAAACCAACGTTTTGAAGACACTCTAATTAAAAAGTATAGACAATTTTAAATATTTTTGCTATGATAAAAATCTTATTGAAAAGGTAAAAAAAAGACCATCTGGGGTTAAAACTCTTTTGGTTGGTAAACAATAAAAATGTACTCGATCCACTTATAATGAATGGCTTCTTTTGTTCTATTTTTTTGACCGCAATTGTGTGAATGTGTGTTCTGTGACAGTCGTTTGCATTAGATTCGATTGCTAGTGATCGGATCGAAAAGAGTGGGGGAGCGGGACAAAAAGTGTAAATGACATTGAGAGAGGGAGAACAACAGAGAAATGGGCGGGTAAAAAATGGGCGTCGAAGGGGGACAGAAAACTCACCTGTCGATTGACGTAGTCCGGCGCTATTTGGCGGCGTGATGCTGATTCCGCTGACGCTGCTGGCGGCGCCAACACTAATGCCGAGCGATTGATTTGATGCGCCCATGGACAAGCCAGAGGGGGTCACGGACCCACCTCCACCACCCCCCGCTGAGGGCAGGGGCGCCTGCAGCTGCAGCAGGTGACTGCCCGTGGGCACACTACTCGATTGCTGTTGCTGTAACGGTGTTCCAGGGGTGGAGTGGGAGTGTGGGGTGGAGGGGGCCAGCGTGTCCCCACCCCCCGCATGCGATTTGGCACTGTTAATTCGTATGGGGGTGCTGCTAGCCCCTCCAGTGGCGCCAGGGGCGAGGGCAGGGGCAGCAGGGGTGTTCGATGAATTAATCATTAATGGAGAATTGTTAACGGGCGTACCGGGCGTTGCGGGTTGCATGGCTTTTGATCGCTCAATTATTGCACTAAATTAAAGTTATTTTCTATTGTGGTTCCTCTTTATTAGTTACCCCCTTTTATTCTTTCAATCAGCAGGCATTGCTCCAATTGTCGTTCTCAATACACGTACACTCTCCCCCACTCTCAAATACACACACACACACAGGGCCGGACGCAGGCCAATTATTGATTTTGTTTTAGCCGCTCAAGAGTTTTAGCTCCCTCCGTTTTTTTTTCACTACAATTTTGGGTTTATGTCGCTGTCTTTTTAGGCTATTTCATTTTAAAGAAAAATAAATTTAATTTAAATTTAGTATTCAACTCGAAACTGTGCGTGTGTGCGTGTGACTAGAAGAGTTTACAACAGCTCAGCTGGTCAGCATAAAATGTGAGTTTATCCAATTGGAAAGAAAGCCACGTAACACGCTCTTTAATGCCACCTTTTTTTATATTTTTTGGTACCAATTAGTGGCAAAGAAAGGCGCTGCTACTAGCAATAATACCAATACTAAGGCCAAAGCTAGTACAATTCTAACACACACACTCACACTTGTCACACACTTTTTCGATTTTCAATTTTCGTTTTTCGTTTCGCGGCTCTCTTTCTCTTTTTCTCACTCGCTTGTTCTCGCTCTCACGGTCCGGCGTCGCTGGCGATTCGCGTTCAACTGAAACTGAAGCTGCAGTCGTCCGTATTCCAAAAAGCTAAACTTGTTTCTTTTCGCTTTCGTATGAGCTCATCCACCACCGCTGCTGCCGACGTCACCATCCCCCCGAACCGCCCAGCCGCCCACCAAACAGGCGGCGAGTATTATTTTCATGACGCGGCAAAGACGCTGGAAGTGTAAAGGCGAAACAAGCTTTTTGTTTTTTTTACTACGTTTGTTTTTGGGGAGGATTTGTATAAGCGCGGTGTCAGCTGTTTCGTCGCCCAGCCCTGGCTGCGCCACGCAGCTTAACCAGGGCTGCAGAAAGTAACGGACACTGTTAACTCAAAGCTAAGCATAACAGCGCGGGCTGTTAAAAGTCAGTTTACTTTATGATATTTCTATAGGGTGAACCAAATTTAAAAATTGTTTAACTTAGGTTAATTTGGCTGTAATTTGCTTAAAAGAGCGCCGGGGTAGATATAGAAAATGAACTACATGTGGAGTAGGAGCTTTTATAACTTATGGATGAATTGTTTTTATTATCTTTTACAAAATATCAATCAAAATTTCAAGTTGATCGAAGCAACGAAGTTCAAGTTTTAATAAAATTTGCAACTGTACGTTTTTTTTGTTGCTAAAAACTAACATTTTTGTTGACAGCAAAAAAAATGTTGAAGTTAATAAATTTTAAATTAAGTTTTAATTTAAATTACTTTTCTATTTCCGTCTTTCCATGCCCAAATTACATACGAATTTAAATTTTAGTTCGATACATAAATGCAATAATTGGGATATAAATTCAAGCGGTGTTGATAAAATGGAAAAATATATTGAAAATGATTGGAATCAATATAATTTCGCTGTCTTACATCAGTTATATTTTCGCCAATTAAATGAATGCACGAACACGTACAAATCCATTTATAAAGGAAATCACCGACCGATAAAACGTAAACCCAAAACAAACAAATGACCCATACTTGAGATCTCTTAATCCAATCAATAAACTCCAGATTGCACGAATATGATTAAGGAATTAAAAATATCTATTCCAACCACTTGTATGTGGCATTCTGATCGATCGACACTTTTATGAATATTTCACAATGCCGATCGAAGATGGTTATCCGATGGCCTATCTAAAGTGTTGATTCTGCGGATTTTGCCGGGTACGAGGAACTTCAATTTTTATTATATATACTGAGTGTTATCACGCCTTGTTATCGCCATGAGAGCTACTGTAAAACTCTCGATTCAAATCGGATTGATAAGTCCCGCAGGAGCACATATAAAACGAGGTGCGTCCATGCGGGTGGCATTGTGAAAGTGAAAGCCAAATATACGCCATGAAGTACCTGCTCAGCGTGACCTTGCTGTTGGCCATTGGTCTTCAGCAGATCGATGCCCACGGAATGATGCTGTCCCCGCCCAGTCGCTCTTCCCGCTGGCGTTACGACGGATCCGCTCCCCAAAACTGGAACGACAACGAACTCTTCTGCGGCGGCTTGTATGTGAGTGAAGGATCTACAAAATGGGACACACCCTAAAGGGGTTTGATAAAGATTTCTAATGATCTATAAAAATCCACAAGAGTTGATGTTGATGGTAGAATGGACAATGGATTGACAAAAACCAATATAAGAAGTTGGAGCTCAGGTTTCGTTTGCAATAGGTATCTTTCTAACCATTTTTTAATTAAATCAAAACGTAGTTTTTTCTGACTTTTTAAAAGCACCGATATCTGCCATCTAGCACCCACAACTAACATCAGTAAAATATTCAACTAATATATTAGCAAACACTATTATAATTCCAAACAAAATCCAACTATATTTGGATGGACCTTTCGGTTAAAATTTGTTTGGAAGAGGTTTCGGGAACACCCCTGTATATAACACGTTGTTTTCCTGATTAACCTTCACGAAAATTTAGATCAATGAAGTTTAAACCATTTAAGATGATATATATTTTGTAAACCCATAAATCTATAGACCCAGTCCAGCAACGGAGGTCGCTGTGGTCTGTGCGGCGACAACTTCTCGAATGGCCAGCCCCGCGCCAACGAGATCGGAGGCAGTATCGGTGGAGAGGGCGTGGTGACCAGGAGCTACGTGGCTGGCAATGCCATCACCGTGGGCGTGAAGATCACCACCAACCACTTGGGTTACTTTGAGTTCCATCTGTGCAACCTGGATGCCTTCGGTGGCGAATCGGAGGAGTGTTTCGACCAGAACCGCCTGCGTTTCCCCGATGGCAGCGATAAGTTGCACATTGGAACCCAGTCTGGCGAATTCGATGTGACTGCTGTACTGCCAGTGGGAGTTACCTGCAATCACTGCGTTCTCCGATGGACCTATGTGGGTGGTATGTGTTGGACAAGACCCGTCTCCAAATTGATTCATAAGTAAACCAAGTTGCTTTCATATTTCAGCCAACAACTGGGGCATCTGCGACGATTCCGGCAACGGAGCCTTGGGCTGTGGCCCCCAGGAAACCTTCAAGAACTGCGCCGATGTGAGCATCAACTGGGGTCGCAACCTGGTCAAGGAGTTGGTCAGTGGTGGCCTACCCGTGGCTCCCATCGAGGTCCTCTAAAAACCCAGTCAGCAATACGAGGAACTGCCATTTAAGTCTGAAAGTACCAAAAGCCAAAAAGTCAGCCAAAGTTAAATAAAGATCTGAACATTACAAACATATTACCAGTTGTTTACTTTATATATCGATTAGGATCTCATAATGTTCGCCGTGGCCATGCAGGTTATCATGCATTTCAAAAGGCTGGCAGAGTCAGGGAATTCGATGTTCGACATAAACGCAGTACCAGTGGATCTGAAAGGGATCTAAGGAAGTTAGGATCGCTGATTGCATGCCTCGAAATAAAAGAGTTCTTTGGTCAAGAAAAAGTTATCTCATTTTGGTTATATCAAGGTCTCTTTCAGTTTTACAAGACTTTTTAACTTTACTTTTAAACGTTGTTAATTCCTCGCTGCTCGTCTGCAGTGTTGGGTTCCAGTTGACCATTGGCATTGGTTTTCAATATATCTGCCGGCAGATTTTACACATAATCTTGGCTCTTGTGGAAATATACTGCATCTGTTTTTCAGCCAGATGCTGGTCCATGCGTTATGTTAAGTAATTTTCAGACCAAAAGTGTACTTATCCTAGCAGATGTTTGCAGAGTAATAGCGTTAGCCTTGCTGCATATGATATGAATTGGACGGAGGCCGACCACCGATTCCGGAAAATGGTTATTTTGATGTGTGTATGACCCCAGAAGCCCACCTTTCCATATTCTTGGACGTGTCTATTGAGACAAGCATCTTAGCGATTTATCCCTTTGCAGTTCCTAGAGTGACTTATAAGTTCTTCTGCTCTATTCGAATGATGTATCAGTAAACGGATTCATGTATTATTAAACACATTTTGTTTATATGTTAACCTTCGTCATCCTAGTTGCTTCTCTACATGAGATTTACCATAAATGTTTCTTCAACTATATGCTGATTGATGCGGTTTGCTAAGAATTTGTTTCGCCTTTCACTTTTTTAATCAGCTTTTTGCTGTGCGGGAATGTGAGCTTTGCTGTTTGTGATTTGTTGGGCTTTAAACAAATTTTTGTGTAGCATACTTTTTTAACACAAGAGTATAAATTATTTTTCCCAGTCAGTAGAACCTTCACTGAGTAATAGTAATGCTTAGCCTAACCTGTAACCAAGCGTAGTATTATTAAATATATCAGAAAGATGTTAGTTCGTTATCAAGAAATTTGGCCTAATTATATTATCTTTATGATAATAATAAAAAATCCATACGCCTACCTTAAAGATAATTACAAAAATATCCTGATATAAAAGAAAAGGGTTCTCGGTATATTCTTTTCCAATCCCCCAAAAACTGTTTCTCTTTGACTCTGTACTTGGGGCACTTCAACCTTGGCTAACAAGTTGTAGTCTGATCGCAAAATAATTCCTAAGCAATGAACTCTTATCAAAATGGCATTGGTGCGTTAAACAACAAGAGTGCAATAAACAAGTCTTTGAAATTAGAATGATTCCATTACCAAAATTTGGGGTATTGCTTAAATGTGTCATAGATGTTTTGTCAGTTCCCTGGTTAGATACTAGAAATTCTCCCAAATTCGAATTACCAATAACCATAAACGAAATGAAGATTGTGAAGCGATAATAAATAGTAACGGTTATTTGGCGAAAAATCAAAAACAAGCATAAACTGCACGGTTACTGATAAGGATTGGGAATATGGAACTATATAAGCCGTCGATGGAGTCGCCTCAGACCAAATTGAAAGCGAAAGTGAAAGCGAAATGAAATTCTTCGAGGTGATCCTGATTATAAGTTTGCCCATTCTTTGCTTCTTGGGCGAACTGGAGGCCCACGGCATGATGTTGACTCCACCGGGAAGATCATCGCGCTGGCGCACCGATTCTTCGGCGCCAACAAATTACGATGATAATGCATTATATTGCGGTGGCTTATGGGTAAGATTCTTACATGGAAATGTTCTTAGGACTTCTACTAAATAATAATTCGTATCTATTAGAAACAAACCGAAAATGATGGTAATTGCGGCCTCTGCGGCGATGATTGGAGTTTAGAGCAGCCACGCCCTAATGAGTTGGGCGGAAAATATGGCAGCGGAGTGATTGTAAAGAGCTATACCGGTGTGACCGAGGCCGAAATTAGTGTTAAGATCACAGCCAATCATCTGGGCTACTTCCGTTTCCACATCTGCAATCTGGATGAAAATGGCAGCGAGTCGGAAGAGTGCTTTAATCAGTATCCTTTGAAGTTTGCCGATGGCAGCACGAAGTACGGCATCAGCACAACCACTGGAAATATCCCAGTAAACGTTACACTTCCCTCCGATCTCAATTGCATCCATTGCGTGCTGCGCTGGACTTACACTGCGGGAAATAATTGGGGGGTGTGCGAGGATGGGTCGGGGGCCATGGGCTGCGGTGCCCAGGAAACCTTTATAAATTGCGCCGATATCAGTGTTCTGTCCTCAGCGAGGAGTATCTTCCACGAGGTGCCAGTGGAGGTGGCGGAATCCTTGTAAATAGGTTTTCCTTTTCGGTGGCCAAGCGAACAACTATCCTAATCTCAATAAATTATTTATATGTTGCATTTAAAAGTAGCATTTTTTATAAAGTATTGAGGAAAATCTTTCTAAGACTGAGTTTTCCACTGAAATAACTTTTATTGACTTAGAGAAAAGAAGTAGATTCTAATTTCTAATCTAAATGACCATTAGAAAGAAACATTCCTATTAATTTAACAAAAAAGTAGTCCCAATAAATACTCCGAAAATTATGAATGTATATTCTTTTATTCAATAAATTTATCATCGTATATATTTATTTATACATATATATGTGTGTCTCGAGTGTTTGTGTAAGTGGATTGTTGGTGAGGATCGTTTTGTCTTCGAGATCAAAGGCTTCGCACAGAGTTTCTCCTCAGACGAGTCTGCTAATTAAATACGCTCTTTCAAAAGCCCCTGCCTCAGACTTAATGTTCTTAACGATCGGATGAGATTTGCACATTTCAATAATTAAATATTCTGTTCTTGTATTTATTTATGCTATCCTGTATATGTTCGTATTTGTATATTGTATTTTAATATTCGTAATTTGTCTTAAGTGTTCCGTTGCTTACAAAATACGTTTCACAATAACTGGCTTATTAGTTAACTTCACAAATAAGTTGTATATATATGTATTCTTTTGTTAATATTTTACAAAGCCTTCAAAAGTTAATTGCAAATCATAAGTCGGGAAATTTCACTACGAACTCAAGAATCGCGTTGTAACTTCAGAATTGTGCCATCAATCATTGACTTAAGAGTATTTTTTTTTGTTTTCCGGTTATCTTTTAACAATTAACTAAACAAACCGCAAACAACTGTGTGTAACCTCGATTGCCACTAGAGATGTCATTAATCAGACGTATGTAGATATATATTTAGCTCTATGTTTAGAGGAGAGTTCCGCTACGATTTAAAATGCCCTCCTCGATTAAAAACTATAAAAAACACACGCACTTTATCGTCAAAATGTGCGAATAGCTCACAACTGAATTACAAGAGTTTTGTACCCTTTTTGGGGTTTCGTTTCTAAATCTCCTCCATTTAAAAGCATTTTAAAATACAGTGGATGCCTTTTTTGACAAAAATAGATGTATATTTATATATTGATGTGGGGGAGGAGCCCTTCGCTGATCTTCGCTTTCTTTACCAAATATTGTGTTATAAAAGCACCTTATAAATTTTACATGTACTCGCAAAGTTTACTCACTTGTCTTGCTTGTATAAATAGCTAAATAGTTCATCTTTTATTTTTACTTTGTTCAAAAATTGTTTTAACATTATACAACACTATCTGTATTTTTGTTTTGTTTGTAATACCTGAATTTTAGAATTTTGTATCCGAAACGCCTTTTTTTGTTGTGTGTTTGCTGACTGAGTTTGTTTCCTTTTTGTTCTCATTCTTGTAATTGCCAAAGGTTATTTAGTATTTCCTGTTATTTTTCCTTTTTTTGTTGTTAAACTTTTGAGTCCGAAATGTTGGTGGCCAAAAAGGTTCTTTGTTGTATCAGTTATATATTTTGTATGAGTTTTCGAACTTGGTACAGGTCAAAAAGTTTGTGTTCTGTCTTCACTTGACCTAATTGACAAACATTTTTTACTTAGCTTCATTGGGGGTTCAATAATTGAATATTGTTAGTTAAGCTTTGTCATTGGCACAAGTTTGCTTGCTAAGGGGGGAGTTGAAGAGGAGGTGATGAAAATAAAAATGAATTTTCAATGTGTTCACACTACAATTAAGTTCACACATTGGTTCGAATTTTCTTATAAACTTGGTTTTATTTTAGTTTTTATTTGTATTTTTTAACATTAACACACTACAGCTTACACGCTCTTTCGCTTTTTATCATATAAAATTTCGTTTGTTCACTAATTAATACAAATAACTAATAGTTAATTATAACTAAACATCATAAAGAAAGTATAATTAAATTATTGTTAAACACGAAATTAAAACATTATAAACGACTACGTGAGTTTACATTTTACAAATTTGTTAATTTTGTTGTATTGCTCTTGTTGATTTATATAATTGCAGCGTCCAGCAAGAATGAAATTAAAATGAAGCGGCATTCAATTTAATGCACATGTTGTATATTGATGATTTTATTTATTTTAATGATTGTAATAACTACAATGTGAATATTGTTACTATAAATTTCCGCGTCACTAGCTTTTGTTTAATTTGAGTGTATATATCTGTAAGATTTTTTATAAATTTTACGAATTATTTGCAACTGTTGCTTTTTCGGGGAAAACACATGAAAATTACGTAAGATCTGTGACTGATATTAGAAGAAGAAGTACTTAAGTTAAAAAAAGCCACATTATTCAAAACATAGATCTGCGACCAACATTAAATAATTAACAATTCACAATGAACATAATTTTGCATATGAATAAAATGCAGTCACACACTTAAAACATAAATGTACAACTAAATGTAATTCAACCGAAATGGTAAACAATATTAAATAGTATATTGCAGCAACAGTGGAAGACAGTTAGTTCTCTCATTCTCTCTCTTTTTTCTTTTTCTTTTAATCGTCTGTAATAAATTTCTTTCAATTATTTTCTTTTTGAAGTTTATTTTTCGGTGTGTGTACAATTTAAAAACAGGCTAAGCTAAAATAATAATAATAAAAATATATATATAAATTATAATTCAATTAGACAACAGTGTAAAAAGCCAATTAATAGAAATGTACATACAATTTAAAAGGGTTTGTTTTCGCATAAACTTTGAAAACAAAAGCAAACAGTTTAAAAGCATTTAGATGTTGCAAATGGGTGTTTTGTGGGGATTTGTTCTCGTTAAAAATTTTAAGACTAAATATACAATACAACTACAGTGTTCATTTCAAGTTTCTTACTGTTTGATTTATACAATTCTTTGCTTGTGCTTAATACACTTCAAAATTAATGTGCAATTTAAGTTAAAGCTTAACCTCTATTTCCGTAGTTTTTCTTAGCTCTTCCAATTTGTTAGTTGCAGTTTCGCCTGTAAATTAAAACCTAAGCCGTTACGCGGGGATTATACAATGTATTCATTATGTATGTTTTTTTGTTTTTTATGTATGTACTTCATATGTGCTTCAAAAGTTCAAATTTTCATCAAAATTTCTACCTCTCCTCTGTTGGTTGCTCCTGATTTATTAAGCTGCTTAATAAATTCAATCGTAATCAGTTACTCATCTCTACTCACAAATTACGTTGCTTGTACATATTTTGTATGCCTATTGTAATTAAAAATTTGTAATATTTTCTATTTTCTTTGTGTAACTTCTCTCGCTATTTGCAGTTAATAATAAAAACTAGTTAACCATGCATCTCATGCATGAGCTGTAGCTATGTGTGAGCTTGTTTTGTATCTCCTTATCATTTTGTGAGTGTGCGTTGCTGCAATTGTTGTTGCTGTCGATTCGTTTACTATCCTTAAGTAATTTTGTCACTTGCAGCAAACAATCTGTTGTCCTGTCTTGTACCCGTTCCCACCAAACTCCTCGTCCATGTCCACTCCACTTTACTTGTACTTGGCATCGGATTCAGTGGCTTTGCTGGCGGGATGCGGTTGCTGCTCAGAATGCTGTTGCTGGTGACCACCTGTAGTTTAGTAATATTGAAAAACATCTATTCAATGTTTTCATGGAGAAATGGAAACTAAATTAAAATGTAACTCAAAATGTGAAACAGTAAAATTAGGCCGTGTTAGCACAGACTTTAATATTGTTTAAGAAGTATTAACAAAAATCTTTAAAAGTAGAAAAGTTGAATTCAAGAGAAATAATTTAATAGTCTCTTAATATTGAAAGGTTTTTTGAAATCACAAAATTAAAGGAAAATTTTTTTATAGGAGATATTTTGACAAATTCTATTTACCCGCTGCATTCGTGGCCTGCACATTCAAGCCGGCACTTAATGTGGTCGACGACGAGTTGGAGTCGGACGGCGTGTTGGGACCTGCCGAGTGTGGAGTGCAGGATGCCTGGCCCAGCAGCTTCTGGCGCACCTCGCGTATCTTCAGCTGCAGGTCTTGCTTGCGCGGAAAGACATCGATGTGCTTGGTCTGTGGATAGAAATTTGTATCATTAACTTGTGGACTGAAATAGCTGGCAAGTACTAACCTGAAAGGCTATGGTGGCCTGGGCAGTGGGGAAGTTGCCGTGCTCGGCAAACAGCTGCATGACCAGGTGGCGGCGCGTCTCCAGCACCTTGCGGTGCCCCTTCTCGCTGGCATCGGAGCGAGCGCTCTGCAGCGGTGTCTTTGGAGTTCTGGGCGAGCGGCCCGTTTGATCAGAGCTCTCCAGTTCTACAAACCGTTCGTCTTCATAAGGATTTTCAAAAATATTAGTATCCTCAATTTTATATTTTACAGATCTAAGCTTTAATAATAATTAAAAGCAGAAGTTAGATAAGCTTACCCTTAAGCTCATTGGTAAAGTCTGGACCAAAGAAACGCTGGGTAGTCGTGGGCGGTGCCGAAGCTGGTTCGTCAATGGAATCGTCCTCGCAAACTTGAACAAATAAATACAAAAATGTTTTTAACTCCTGTTAAATGACATTATTATTTCGTGACTCACTTAGCTTCTGCACCGGCGGCGGAGCTGTGTTCTTTTTCCGGTAATTTGTTCCATAGACGCGTGGCGAAGAGGGCACAGCGATGGCACTGGGCGACTGGCAGTCCTCCGGTTGAAATTGCGGCAGTGCCTTATACTTCTTCTCAAAGTCCACTTGCTTAAGCACACTGCTGTGGAAGGGATAAGAGTTAAATAAGGAAATCAACAGGAAACTCTGATCGTCTTACTTATTCATCTCATCGTTCTTCTTCTTGAGGGCCGCTGCCGCTGATCCCGGAGTTCCCTTCATCGGAGACTTGGGCGGTTGGTTGACCGTGCTGCCGCTGCTGGTAGTCGGCGTCAGAGGTAGTTGCTCATCGCTGTTCGGCGTAGTCGTCGAGGACGTGGGCGTGGGCAGGGCCGAGCTGAGGCTGCTGCTGTTCACATGGCCAATGATCGGCGAAGAGGAATCCATAAATGTGGGCGAGTGTAGTTTGCGGCTGATGTGCTGCCCATTGCTAGCCCCCAGATTAGCTCCAAAGGACACATTGTTCTCCGACTTGCTTTGAGCTGAAATGATGAAGAGGGTAATTTTAAGGTTCGAAATAAAGTGATTTCAGGAGATTTTCTTAGGTACACTCACATAGATTTTTCCTCCGCTGAAGTGGTGCCCGTCCCAGCTGCGCCGGCGTTGGTGCCAGAATAAACTGCTGACCATCGGCATCCATGTCGCTCTCATCGCCTCCACTCGCCGCTGAAGATGCACAGCCACCCATGCCACCCTCAGCACTTCGTTCCGGCGGCGCACTCATGAGATATGTTGCCGATTTGGGAGTGGATGGCATCGACTTGTACGAGGGTGAACTGGCCGGCGGTTCGGCACTATGGCTTGGCGTGTATCCATGGAGCAGCATCGTAGGCTGTGCACTCACAGGCGGCGGCAGCGAGGAGATACCATTGTGGTTCTTGAATATGTAGCTTCCTGGCGTAAAGGCGTCCAGCTGCAAGTGCTCCAGACTGGGTGTGCCCGGCTGGTGTGAACGCTGGTGAAAGGGGTACTGAAAAACAATACAAATATTATCCAAATGTGCTTCTCGTGCATTTCAAATTTACTTACCGGGTTGCTCATGGCGAAGAACATCTTCTGGCCTTGCGCTGGTCCGCCTCCCATGATCTGGGCGGGTGCCGATGCCGGAGGCGTGGCAATGGCTGCTCCCAGTCCCATGCCCGCCGGCGAAGATGGAACACACGCCTGGTGGGCAGCTGCGGAACAAGAGGTGGAATTGGAGGATGAGGAGGTGGTTGCATTTGAGTTGATCATGACTATGTTGGAGCCACTGCTGGCCACAGGAGCAGCAGAATTGGCTGCCGTGATGGTTAGTTCGTTGGCATTACTACTACTATGATTTGTTGCCGCCGCCTTTGTCAGCACGGTGAGAGTTGCTCCAGATTGACTAGTAGCTGCAGTCCCGGCCGCCGTGGATGTTGCTGTTGCCGCTGTCAGGATGCGGGCATTGGCTGGCAATGTGATCTTATTACAGGCATTGATGCTGATGAAGGACACTGGTCGCAGGGTGGCTGCTCCCGACACGGGTGTTGCTGAGCTGCCGCCCAGATGTTGCTGGTTGTATGAGTTGACGTCCGTGATCAGCAGCATAGTCGCCGGTTGGGATGTGGCAACCTGCTCTTTGCCTGCCACCTTTGGCTCACTCTCCCTTTCGCCATCCCCTTCATCGTCCTCGTTCTCTTCATCCTGACCGTGCAACGTATCCAGGACCAAGGCATCGTAAAGGATCGCCGCTCGTCCTGTGCCCTTATGGCTGCCGCTAAGTTCGCATCCTTCTTGAAGCGTCAGCAATTTTCGTATGATTGGCGTGGCATTGTTGTTAGTATTGCATGTTATTGTGGTTGTTGGTTGGTGTTGTGTTGGAAAATTGGAAAATTTATTAGGGGCTTCTTTACTGGCTGGGTTGGATGATGATGATGCTGATGAAGTGGATGTGACCGTAGCAATCACTGGTGACCCCTGAACCTTCTGCTTGAAAAACAACGGTGGCGGAGTGTTGTGTGGATGGGAATGTGGGTGTTGTTGCGTTCGTATGATGGTGAAATGATTGATTGTGGGCGTGGGCACGCGTGTGATGACCGTCGGCGGAGTTTCGCCGCGTCGCTGGTGCAGATGCTTCAGCTGCTGGTGCGGGGAAATCGAAGGTTGCAGCGGTGTCAAGGATCGCACTATGGTGAACTGTTTTCGCTTGATGGGGGTGACAATGTTGGCCACCGGCGGAGGCGTGGGAGTGGGCGTAATCACGGTCTTTGGCATCGTATAGGAAGCAAGGTCATCGAAACCAGCACTGGCATTCACACTGGCCAGTTCCTGCATAAACTGCTCATCGTCCTCGTCATCATCATCGTCGTCCTCTTCGTCTTCGTCTTCATCCTCATCCTCTTCTTCATCATGTTCTGCATCGACCAATTCCGCATTATCCTTATCGTTATCCTCCCCCGACTTGGCCCCCTTGGTATTATCTCCCCTATTTGTTTCTTCTTATACGATCAATTGATTTTTTTTATGGGTGAGGTGACGAAAATGACAGCGCGACAAAGGAAGATCAATAGTGGGGTGTGTTAATCGTGTGAGAGAGAGAAAGTGAAAGAAACAGAGAGAAAGATGTTATGTTATGCAAAAAGCTTTCGTTGGAAAAACTTTGCAGATGAACTTGCGAATGTTAAATGATAAGTGGGGATCCGGGCGTGAGGCGTTCGATGCAAGTGCAGGGAGGGTTTTAATTTTGTATCTCTCCAATTTGATTCTTGGCACAAATATAAAAGTCAAAACATTACGTAAAATCATACGACGTCAACAAATCATAGTAGAAATAATGTCAATTCTAGATTACACTAAATAAAGTGAAAATTATAAGTAAATATACAAACAATATGTGGAAAATATGATAAAAAAATAAGTAAAAAAAATTACATATCTAAACCAGGTCGTTTATGAGCATTAAGACGGTTTTCAATTCAACATCAAGCAACATGATTTGAAATGATAGAACCAATATTGTCAAATATTTATATCAAGTATCAAAGCTGGTGTTCTTTACTAGTAGTACCGCTTAATCTATCTTAATGCCCGAAAATTCCCTGCATATTCCTTCGTTTTTTTTTTTATCACCCAGTGCATTTCTCTGGCTCCAGTTTCTCACCTCTCAAATCAGTGGGACTGCGATGCGGATGGTGCATGGGGTAGTGGAACTGCTTCTGACTCAAAGCCGTCGCCGTTGGCACATTGAAGTTGAAGATGGCACCGACGCTGCCGCTACTGGGTGGCGGGGCACTGACCACGCTCCCTTGGGCAGCGGATCCCGAACCACCATTCAGCTTGTAGGGAGATGGCGGCTCCTGCTTGATGTCTTCCTGCTTGATATGTGGCTGCATGGACGCAACGTCCTCCAGTTTGCTCCCGCTGCCCTTTGGGCTAATGGGCATCGACTTAAAGGCGCCGCCTGTGGATCAAAGTTTTAAGGAATCCTTTGATTAGCATGGGATGGCGGGATGAAGATTAGCGGGGGTTTGCTCGCCTGTGGGTTGGAATGGTGTTACACCGATTGGATTCTTGGGACTAGTGTACTGCGTGTAGATGGACATCTGGGTGTATGGCAGCATGTTGCTCTCCAGCACCGGATGGGCCTTGATGGCCTTCGGTTTGAGTGTAATCTCGCGTTCTCCTCCGCTGAGCGGGGGTGCGGTCATGGCCTGGCCATTGGCACCGGACGTACTGTGCTCCTCCGCCGAACGCTGCAAAATAATTGGAAAACCAGTTAAGTTACGATGCTTAAGATGTGAAGGGACAACCAATTTATTCACCTGATTTGCTTCTGGCTGCTGCTTGCGGTAGTCAAAGGGTGCGTCGTCCATGTCTGAGTCATTTACCCGCTCGCGGCAGTGCAGGTCTATCTTCTTCACAGGCTGCTGTGGCTGCTCCTCCTCGACCACCAGCATCTGCTCATCTTCGTCGGAGGGCAGCTCGTTCTTCATCATTTTGCCGTTGCCGCTACCCTTCATTGAGATCGTGGTTGGCGCCTCATCGCAGGTGCTATTATAATTATCGATCGTCAGCGGTATTATGTCGCCCTGCAGATCAGAGGATATGCCCTGGCCACCGCAGCTGCCGCTGCCTCCTGGCGTCGAGGGGCACATGTCGTGCTCCAGGGAATCGGAGCCATCCACCGAGACCAGGCGCTGCTTGGCGTCACCCGTGCCGGCTGCTCCGCCTGCCTTGCCACCAGGCGTGGCCGTCGAAGTGGACGACTTTCGGCGATCCTTGGAGCACCATTTCCACTCCGGATGAAGCTTAAAGTGCGCATCCTTCACGGAACTGGCCAGCTCATGGTATTGCGCCTTCTGCTCTGGTTTCAGGGCGTACCACCACTCGCCCAGGATCTTGCTAACAGTACGGTTGTCCTGATTAGGATGCTTCTTGTGTACCATTTTGCGGTGCTTCTTGGAGAAGATCATAAAGGCATTCATGGGTCGCCGGATCTTCTTGTTTGCCGGCTGTCCAGCCGTTGCTCCGGCCGCTCCCGCTTGTTGTTGCTGCTGCTGTTGCTGCAGAGCGCTCAAAGATTGACTCCTCCGCTTGGCAGCCGAAGTGGCTGGGGCACCTGCTACTCCATCGCTGGCATCATGGCACTCCTCCAGCTTGCGTATGTTGCTGTTGTGGGCTTGCAGACGCATGGCTACCGTTTGTTTCTTACTGCTACTCGCGATCACAGGCGTAGTGGGCTCAAACACATCATCGTCCAGCTGATCTTCCGGCTCCTCCTGCTGCTGCTGATGTTGCCTCTGGTTTGCCACTGCAGCCGCTGCTGCTGCCGCTACCTTCGCATCGTTCATCGAGCAATTGAGCGGCTTTCCCGGCGAACAGAGTGGAGCGGGCACAATCAGATGGTTGTTGTTGTGGTTCAGCGGCATCTGCGGCGGCGACTGTTGCTGCTGCAATTGTTGCTGTTGTTGAAGTTGCTGATGCTGCTGTTGCTGCATCATCACCACGCTGTAGTTGCTGCCCGAAGTGGTCAAGGTTGGGGTGGCCGGAGCTGCCGGCGCTTTGCTCATAGGGGTCATTTGTGGAAGCAGCTTGTACCAGGGCGCATTGTAGCCTAAAAATAGCGAAGAGGACGGTATTTAATAATTTATATAGTATAATTATTTATATAGTTAAGGACTTATGACATTTTTATATCCTATCTAAGCAATTACAATTGTCATTATTGAACATATTATTCATATGATTTCATTTATCATATTTCATATCATATAATTTATTATATTTCATATGATACTTTATTTTTATTTTTATGAAAATTTAATATTTGATAAATTCAACATTTGTCAACAAAGGATTCCAAACTTACTACATCAAAATTATTTTTGTTTTTGAATCAGATAACTTGTGTGTTAAATTGATAAATTTAAATGTTTTTTATATGATTAAAGTTTCATTTAATTTCTATAATGACTATTGTGATATGATGCAAATGTTTATCAATTTGCCTCCTAATTTTGCCAATAACTTGATGATTTCGGTTTGAAACGTTTAGCCATTTGGAATGACCCCTTTACAATAACATACCGTTTTTTGGCAGCATTTTATCTTGCCCTAAGGACCCCACTGTTGCCGCTGTTGAGGTGGGCGTGCTTGGCTGATGAAATGAAACCGTTGTGGGCGGCAGGGGCACTGTCAGCTGTGTGGCGTCCACAATCACGGGATGAAAGGACTGACCGCCGGATACTACCACATGTGGATGTTGCTGGTGCTGCTGGTGTTGATGTTGCTGCTGGCTGCTAGAGATGCGTATAACGCTGGTGGCATGACCCACGTTGTTGTTGTTGCTGCTGCTGCTACCGCTGGTGGGTGGTACCGCTGGAGCTGGCAAACTGGCAGGTGGCGGCGGCGGAGGTTGGTGGTGCTGTTGCTGCAGTTGGTGGTGCGGCGGTGGGGCATGCATCACCAGCGAAACGGGTGTCGTTTGCGGCGGCAGTGGTTGTGTGCCAGCAACCAATGTTGCTGTCGTAGCTGCAACATGAGTATTGTTGCTGTTGCTGCTACTGCTGCTCGCCTCCCAGCCATTGTTGTTGTTATTGTTATTATTGTTGTTGTTGGCATTGTAGAGTACCGGACTGGGTGTTGTTTTCCACTTGGAGTCAAGCGGTACGGCCACAGGTTGCTGCTGTTGTTGTTGCTGTTGCTGCTGCGACTGGTTGGCGATGGGCGTGAAAAAGTTCTGCCTGTGACTGGCGGACACATTAACCGGCGAATGGGCAATGGCATTTAGCGGTGACACTCCGGCATGGTTCACAGGTGAGGTGTACGAGGGCGTGGCAGATCGAGAGCTGCTCAGCGATACTATAAAAAAATACGAAAAAAAATCACAAAATTAAATCCTGATTTTGTTAAATATAATCCTTGGGGGGTTAAAAAAACACTCTTTTGATCTCATGGCATTACATAAGCACTGCAGATATAGTTTGGCCCCCAGCTCAAAGTCCTGGAACGCATTCATGACGTCCTTTCGCTCCTCTTGTGCATTTCCACGGAAATATCTTCTTCGCTCGCCAACTGAAACCGCTTAAAATACACTTTTCTGCTTTCGTCGTCGTCGTGTGTTTGTCACATTCGCTTTGTCCGCTGCATTCGCATCGCTTTGCTTTTTCCGTTCTTGCTCTTGGTTCTTCAGTTTTTTGTGCTCTTGACAGTTCCCACTTTTCAGCATAAATGCGGCAATCGTCGATTCGATTCTTCAGAGACGTACGTTTCTTTCCAAGGGCGGCACGGCGACGTCGACGTCGGCAGCATAAGTCGAGCGCCGCTCTCTATCTCTCTTGGGCTCTCTCCTTTTCTCCTTGTCTCTGAGCCGCCGCTCGCCATGTTTGTTTACCTGCCGTAAAGGTGTGTGCGTGCCTGGCCGCTCTCAAGTGCATTTTTGTTTAGGTAAAAACGATTCAAAGGCAGGGCAAATAACAAGAAAAGAGCTGAATAAAAGAAAAGAATCTGTTGCGCTTCGCACGCAGCCTCTGCCTACGTCGACGTCGCTGCCGTCGCTTTGTTTCGTCTCAAGTGGCTCTGCCGCAGCGATCACGACGTCTTTTACCTTCTGCAGGTGCTCAGGAATGCGTGGACACAGTGGCACAAAGAGAGGGGTTAGAATGTTGTAGTAGACTTAGGGGGTCAAAAGACCTCCTATTAATTCTTCTAGGGTGTCGTTTGGTTGCTTCCAAAATATCTCATACCATTTTTAGAAATTTTTCGGTTGAAAAACCTTTAATTTTACCCATGCTTGACCGATATATAAAAAAAAATTACAAAAATAGAAAATAAAACTAAAGTCGAAATTGAATAAGTTTAAGAGAGATTAGAAAGGCTGCAAAAAGAAAATATACTATTTGCCTCTAATCTTAAAGTAACTCACAAAATAGATTTGTGGTTTGCTTAAATTGTTTCGAAGTACCTGAAATAAATCTATATTAACTTTTTTCACACCCACTATTATTTCCCATATTCCCCTGGTAAAAGTCCTGCGTACGCCTCTGCTTGATCATCTCCCTTCTCTGCTGCTGCTGAGCAGTCGCTGTCGCTGCCGACGTCGCTGCGTCTGACGTGTAAATCACGCTGCGGTCACACTCTCAAGTGGCCAAGCGGGTGGGAGTGGGAGTAAGAGAGGTTTCTTTCTCTCTTTCTTCGGCGGACAATGGAACCCTTGATGCGTTTTCGGGATCGAAATTGGAATCGGACACGACCTTTGCGCCGCAGCAGCGACACCTTTCATGAAAAGCGGCGGACGGACAAACGACCTTTGTTGAGGTGTGTGAAAAATGGACAGGGGTCGGGAGGTCGAGAAGGAGAGGAAAACAGAAAGTACGACGGCGCTGCCACAATAAAACTTTATGATATGCATTTTATGGTGAATTGGAAATACATCGAACCAGAAAACAAGAGATTTAAAAGGTCTCTGTCGTGTCGACTTGACCAAGTGCCCTAACCTTTTCAAGAAATTAGGCAGGGTATCTACTTAAGGTATAACAAATAACTAACTATTTAGAAGCCTATTTTCTCCACAATTTAGGAATAATTTCTGACCTTAAACATATTCATTTTAAGTAATTTTTAGAAACTAATTACAAAAAGGAATAATACATAATAAAGCAATAATCTGAAAATCGTAAATTGTATAAAATGTAGCTTGGTAAATAATAAATAAATCTTTTTTAGAAAACTGTTTTAGAAAAAAGTAGTACAAGTCTAACTAGACCTACATATGCAAAATATTTGAAACAAAATGGTAACGCCTATCAAATTTTGTAATTGTATCTTTAATATTTTTCAGTGATCCGTTTTAATATCCGATATTATACCCAAAGGCTTAAAATACCAGACTCAATCATAAAAATATTTATTTTTAATCATACAACCTTTATGTATAAAATAAACCTCTTTATTGACCCCATTTTTATGTTCCAAAGGAGCTCGACAATCCATTTATTTTAGGTCTGCTTTTTATGGTCTTTTAACGAACACTTTTTCCAGTGCTTTAGAAATCCGGTTCTGCTCTGAATGAAAGACGTTCGTTTCTTCTGCATTCCAAAGGAATTCTTAAAAGGGGGACCCCTGTATAAGGTATGAAAAAGAGGTTTTCTACGTTGTGTAGGGTGCACACATTTCTCCTGCCCCGAAGACGAAACCAAAGAACATTTTTCCAGAAGCGCCGTGAAGAATATCGTTTTCGGACCGCTATGCCTGCTGCCTTTTTCTATCTATGTAATTGCGTGAACAGAGATAGATTAACGGTTAAGCCGGCGCTGGTCAGGCTCGAAAGGGATGGCACGAGGGGCTGGGAAGGCCAGCCTTGGAATGAATTGCTACAAACTATGAATAAATAGTTCGGACCGGGTTCCAAAACGGAATTTTAAATGCTTTTATGATACCTTCTGCCCGGATCGTAAAGAGTCAAGAGGTGTGATGGCGGCGAAGAGACTTACCCAGCATGACGGCCGCATCGGTCTCCTCCTGATCGTAGCGACCTTTGACCCGATAGTTAGGCGACGTCTCCGAATCGCGAGAGGTGTCCTCATCGATCTGCGTTTTGCTGCTTGATCGGCTGTCACTAATAATGGAATACCAGATAGATAAATAATTGAAATAAACTAATAAATACTTTTGTATAGTTCCTTAAAATATATATTTTTTTGAACATTTTTTTTTTTAATAAAATCTTATTTCTTCGAAATTAATTATATAGTTTTAATCAATAATATTAAGGTTTAAAAAGAGTTTTTTTTAGGAAATCATAATTTTAAAGTTTCTTAAAGCAAGAATGAAAGTATAGCTCACCTTAGTAGACGTCCCGGGCCCGTGGACGAAGGCAGGGCGCTATTATTGCCCTTCTGGTTGAGATGCCGGGAGCAGAAGCCGCGCCGCTGAGATTCCTTGGTGCACAGCATGCACAGGCGGCGCCACTGCTTCCCGTTGTACTTCTTGCGCACGCCGGACTCCGACTCCACGATGTCTCCCTTCTTGAAGCGGTGCGGCGTGGTGGCCTGAGATCTGTGGATGGCACTGCCGGTTCATTAGCAAGCGGTAAAGGATAGGGGAGAAGTTATGAATAACAGGATACAAAATAGTGGATATGGTTAGTTAGTTGCAATCTTGTTAGGTTTAGATTTGCCTATGCATTCTTGAAATACATTTTCAGTAGATTGTGTTATGAGGTGTTAAGGAAGTAATTTTAAATTTATTACAGAATCGAAATTCATAACTTCACTAATTATTTAACTGCCTGTTGAAATTTCGTTCTCATCGAAAGTGTTGCACTCACCTTGGTGTTGCTGGATGAGATCGTGGTGTGAGCCTCTGGTCGAGTAGACTGGACGTGCTGCCGCGGCTCTGCATGCTGCTCCGCTTGCTGCAGGCGCTCATCTTCTCCGTGTCCAGCTCGCCGGCTGCTGGCGAGTATCCGATGCCGACCCGTTTGAGTTCGTCGTCCGAGTCGTAGTCGTCGTAGCCCCGCGACGACTGTGGCTGCTGCTGCTGCATCTTGGGGTGCTGCCCATTGCTGCCCGGGGAGATCACGAGGTCCGGCAGGCCGTTGGTCTGCGGGGGATGCGACTGCGCCGCCTGGGCCACTTGCTCCGATCCTTGGGAAGGGCCGGCGAATGGGGGTCGCGTCTGGAACGGCGACGTGGCCGTCGTCCGATAATACTCTTCTTGTTTTACGAGATGCTGCTGCGACTGTTGGTGGGTGGGCGTGGGAGGTGCCGTGGGCAGCTTGCCGTCATAGCGGGTGGCCACAAAGGTCAATGGCGCACCGGTGGCTGCTTTCGGGTAAACGATATTGCCACTGGGCACGGCCATCGCTTCGCCAGATGCTGCTCCTGCTCCTCCCGCCGACACCTTCCGCTTGCCACTGGGTGCGGGGACGGTGGCTCCACCCGTAGGCGTCAGTTCGTTGAGCTCATCCCACCACGGCGGCTGGAGCAGCCTCAAATCGGCGCGACGCACTACCTTAGTGGTGGCCTGAAAAAAGTTCATAATAGACTTAATTTTAGATATCACTTTTGTCGTACATCCCAATACTCTTAAAGATAACCTAACCATTTAAAAGGATGAAAATCTCTAATATTATTTAAGCTTTTTACATCGAAAATAAGAAACCAGCTGAAAAATTGATTTCAACTGTAATCGGACTTACTACTACATACATATTACGTTCTGAATACATATGTTTTAAAATATTTTCCAACTGCCGTTGAAACCTAACCAAACCCTTTTTGACTCACCATTTCATCGCCGATCAGTTGCACGCTATATTGCTTCGTAGCCTGGTTGATGTCCGTAATGATGCCCTCCACGTAGACGAAGCTGCCGGAGCCACGACCCTCCACCCGTTGCCGCACACAGACACGGGCATCCAGCGTAATCTAATCGTGGAAAAGAAATCTCCATTAGAATGTACGACTCCCAAAAAAAAGTTTCGTTCGGTCTACTTACATCCGCCATGGGCGGACTGGCATCGAGTATCACATGGTTGCGTCCCTGGTGCAACACATCCGGATATAACAGCAATCCCAATTCGGTGGAATCAAATTCCACGAGTATTGAGTCGGGAGACGTATCCAGCACTGGACGTATTATCCCGGGGGCATAGTGATTGTGGATTTTGGCTAGGACACGCGTGTTGTTCCACTCGCTGAGATCGAGCAGGGATTGCTGCTGCTGTTGCTGCTGCTGGTGTTGTTCCTGTACATGTTGCTGATTGTTTGAGTTAAAGCTAAAACGTTGTTGCTGTTGGTAGTAGACGGCGGTTGTGGGCGTGTGTGTGCGTTGCTGATGATTAATTGTGGCTGCGTGACTATTGTTGCCGCTGACAACATGTTGCTTGTAAGTACTACCGCTGGCATGTTGCAGCGGGGATGCAATGATAATACGTTGCTGCTGCTTGATATCGCTGCTATTGCTGTTGCTGCTGCTACTGTTGTTGCTGGCGCCTGCACCGCAACTCACGATCATGCGATGCAGCTGATTGCCGTTAGCCAGGCCATCGCTATTGCCATTTGTGTCGGCGGGTTTCTGCTGCTTCTGCAGATTCAGTTGCTGCTGTTGCTGGGGATGCTGCTGCTGGAGATGCTGCTCGGTTTTGTCCAGCTCTGCTGGATCGAACTTTCGCTTCTTGGGGTGTTGCCGCGGCTGAGGTGGTTGCTGTTGCTGCTGTTGCTGAGGTGTGCTGGTTGCTGCTGTTGTTGTCTGTAGGTGCGGCTGGAACAGCACATGTTGCTGGTGTTGCTGCTGATGTTGCTGTGTTGCTGTTGACTCGACGGCTGCTGTTGTTGTTGCTGTTGGTATACCGGCGATTGTTGCTCCCGTTGCTGGTATCACCATTTTGTTGGCGGCAACAACAAAGACTTGTTGCTGCTGCTGCTGCTGTTGCTGCTGTTTGTTTGTTATGACATAAGTCTCGGCTGCGGCAATCGCGGCTGCTCCTCCTCCATGTGTTGCTGTTGCAGTTGCATTGGCAGCGCTGAGCATCTTAGTTGTGGCAGCAACATGTGTGTGGCTTGTTGTTGGGAGGGGAAGTGGAGTGGGTAGGTTGTGTTTTACTTCGGCTGGTGTTGCTACTGCAACGGCGGTGACATCAGCAGCATCCTTCCTGCAATCGAGGCGAAAGGCGAGAAAATTTGTTAATTAAGTTGACAACAGAAAACCATTAAAATCAACGACGCCGTTGTCGATGTCATTTCATAATTAGTGTAATCCGCATCCGGACAACCCTGACATCCTGCCACGATCCACAGGACTCGCAGAAACTCTGGCGCCCGACGTCAGGCCATAAAATTCAATCTCGCCGAACTATGGGCCTCTCTGTCTGTGTGCGAATTTGCGACGACAACGGAAACATTTTAATTTGCACAGACGTCCAGTGGTCTGGGTTGGCTTGTGGGCGGTGGGCGTGGCCGTAGCCGGCATTAAAAAAAAGTGTAAAAATGAAATATAAATGACACTTGAAACATTTTATGCCAAAGCCATACAGACAGACGGACGTACAGTTGCACAAAAAGTCAAAATCATCCGGCAACCACAAATACACACACAGATTGAGGCGCAGAAATAGACCCACCGTAGTCAGCCTGGAATTTCAAAACGGGGGGCAAAGGTAGGTGAATGGAGGATATAGCGCTTAAGGGCTTACAAATTCACAGAGTAACGAGTATATCCGAAGAAACTTAATTAGCTTATTGCAATTGAGTGACGGATTAACGGTTTATTCAGTTTCTTCCAGCATTAATTATGTAATTCGGTGGTTAAGAACCTTTTTATAGTTGAAATATTAATGTAATCTTAAAGTGCACATCTTATATTTTACAGCTCTACTAAATGTGATTTAAGAAATGAGAAAACCACCTTAAATATTACAAAAGATCTCGGTATTAACATGCTATTAAGTTGGTCTCACCGAGGAGCATTTTTGGAAGGATAATCTGTGTAAGACATTATCGACATATATCCCTTTAAGGAGTTATTAAAATGAATAAATGGTTGAACTTATCGATACCTAAAACGCCATAACTTTATCCGCAACCAAACAGAACAACCTGCAAACTCAGTCCATCATGTTTTCCATTTATTTTCATCAAACTTTTACCAATCCTCGCCCATTTTGGCTTTTAATTCATCAGACTTTGAAGCTCAAAAAAGTGTAGCATACTTCTGGGCATGATACGTATACGACCGTTTGGCTTTGTAGTAGTCGGCCAGAGTTGCCACATCTCGCTGGCAGCTGCTGCAAATACGGCTTATCGCAGGACCAACTCCTGTCCGCCTGCATCTCCATCTCCATATCCTTTTCCATTTCCATCCACAATCCGCATCCATCTACATCGCTATATCCCCCCAACTCAGGTCGCTTGTGTGTAGGCGTAATTGCGGGAAATGACTGCCACGCCCATTGTGGGCGAGCTCTTAAACCCATACACCCTTACTACTATACACACACACACAGTGAAAACGAAGCTAAATTGAAGCAACGTAGCAACCAGGAATGAATAAAAAACCTGCAGCCTTGGCCATATTGTTGTTGCAGTTAGTTGTTGCTGCTGCGCGGGACAAGTGCAATGATTGCTTTATTTTTTCTCCCCAACCATTCTTTTTTTTAGCTCGCTTTTCACAACTTTGCTTTTCATTACTGCGGCCAGGGCTTTCGCGCTTTCGGTTGCTAGGCTGCCAGCAGCGAATTGCAATTGTTAGGAAAAGTCCACAAGGGCGGCGTTGCAGAGGCGAGAAGAAGACGCTGAAAGGTGGCAGACACGGTGTCTGGTACAGTTGTTAGGACAAGCGTGGTAAATGCCAAAGTAACACTGCGAAAAATAGCTTTGAAAATTCTGGAAATGTGGGCAAAGGTTCTTGCTAACATATTTGTGTCTCTTTGGTTAGGAAGCTATATTCTGCTTTTTTTTTATTTCAAGATCAATCGTATTTTAAGTGTTGTCGTACTTAAGACTTTCATGCAGCATGTGTTTCTGTTTTTAAAGAATTTAAAAACAATTTGATGTATTTTCGTTTCTGTGGTGCTCTTAATCAATAGCAACGATCTTATCAACAAACGTTTATGTATAATGTGATTTTATTTTTCTTTTCTGTTGCACACAAGTTTGTTTTCCTTGGGGAAGCTTTCGTCAACCCAGGCACAAGCGCAAACTTTTCTTCCAATTGACTTGACTTTTCGCAGAAGGAATAAAATGCTCCATCAGAGTCGACAGCAATCTGAATATGATGCCTCCGATGAAGGCTCAGCCTCAGGATCAGGCTTAAAACTCGACTCGTGGCGTCGGCAAGTTGAGCTTGCGATTAGTTTGACATATGCTCACATGTACACACCATTACCCTCTTCCCCTTCCCTACTACAGCACACACATCCATAGAGCACAGTGGCAAGCTTATGCACATATTTATAAAGCTTTTATGTAAATAACTGCATATCTTCTATATTTGTTCATGCGTTGCAGCATGGGGCGTGTGTGGGGCGACAGTAATGTGTGTGTGTGTGCCCAGACACAGAAAACGACATCAAAGTGGAGGTAAAGTCGGAGGTAAAATGGGGGTCAGAGGGAGGAAGGTTGCTACCGATGCGTGGCTAAGTAAATCTAACCATATCCACCTCTCCCCTTAACTTTACTTGGGATCGCTGGGAATCCGAATATCGTGTGCGATTCACAGCTTCTGGCAACCAGTGAAACGTAAGCCCAATCTGAAGATAGGTGTACTAATTACTGAATTACATTACATTTTCCAGTTATTTTCAGGCTTTTAAAATTGCTTTGAATGTCAAACCATTAGGAGTAGAAATATCATTTAAATAATGTACTGACTGTACCTTCCAGTTAATAAAATAGTCCCCAATAAATTCTGTGTTTCTCCAACCCAGTACTTCCAATCCTAATTTACACTAATAAATAATAAAAATGGTTACTGCTAGTTAATATAACAATGTTATAATAATGGCATTTTCTTTGTCTTGCAGAATAAAAAGAATTTAAGTTACTTTAACGATTATCCTTCATTGATGATTAACATTTCTTTTGACGTAAATCGGTTAATCTGCGAAACAATGGGATTTACTTGCAACTTAACTGGAAGCAAAAAAATCTTGCAATGCAATGTGAGCATTATTACAGTTATCTGTTGATTATTATAGTACCCATTGCCAAAATTTCAGCAATTTTCGGTTTACATTTGTGTTTAAGGGAACGTGTGTGTATGTTGGCGTAAGTGTGGCTGTTTCAATTGCCATCATTTCCATCTGCATTGTCTTTATTGTTGCCATTGTTGCTTTTTATGATGTGGTTCAGCAACTGCATTTGGCATGCATGTCAATTTCTTGTGCTCTCATTGCACTTGGTTTTTGCTGTTATTGTTTTAGTTAGTTATTGTTGGCTGCTGTTGTTAATTGGCATATTCAGTTTTATGATACGAATACACACATGTCATACAGACAAAATAACTAATACCTACGCGATCGATTTCAATGCAGTCGTGCTAAATTGAATGCAAAACATGCGTGCAAACGAGACGACGATGTGTGTGGGACATTAAAGTGCCTTTGTTACACAGAAAAAAAATTTTTTTTAAATACATATCGGTTTTAAATTATTAATTCAATGAACAAATAATTAACCTACGTTAGAATATTAAGGCTTAAGCGTAGGCCGTAGCAAAAAAAAATCTGGTTTGAATTTACATTCGAGCTTTCATATCATCTGACCAAAATATATGTATTCTATGTTTTCTATTAATCTTATATCATTTTTTTTTTCTGTATTATTTTAATATGGACATGAGTGCAGGAATAGTGCAGTGTAATTAGAAGAGAGTTCCTTGAACCCTTACGGTCATTTGTTTTGGCGCCAAATCGAAAACGAAACGAAAAGTGTAGAATATGCGAGCAAAGAAGAGAGCAAGCCGAAAGTCCATGCAGAAAGTTAATCTCTTCCACTTCCTCCCGTTCTCTCCCACTCACTGGGCAACTCCCCCACTCTTTCTTTCCCTCCCGCACTCATTGCACTTAGCAACGGTACAAACGCAGCTCTGCTGACGTCGCTGCCCGGCTGCTGCAATGTCAGTAACCCCACTCTAGTGAAAAAGAGGGAGTGAAAGATAGAGAGAGACCGAGAGAACGGGGGAGTGCAGTTAGCGCTGTGAATTTGTTTGCTGTGATTTTTCTGTGCATTTATTTCTGACATTTTTACGTTGTATTTTATGCTGTTGCCAACTCGTCAACAGCCCTTCGCCCATTCCCCAAATCAACCAAAAAAAAGTACGCTCTTAGTCATTCAAAGCAGGCAACAGCAAAATAATGCAGCATCAAGTGAGAGTGAGTTATGGGCACCCTTCCTCCTCTACCTTTCCCCACCCACTCTCATTTATGCCTCCTCTCATATCCTCGTCTTTTCTTCTCTTCCCTCTTCGTTTTCATCCTTTCTCTCCAGGAGAATCAGAGAATGAGTAACGTCGAATGCCGCTCATTTGCGTAGAGTAAATGCAAATAACTCGTGCATTCGAATACCCTTCCTCCTCTCGCTCTTGCCTACAACACGTACACACAGAGCTTGCGTACCCACACACGGGAACGCATGAATGCAATGTGCTGCAGTAGCAACAACAAAAACTACAGTAGCGGAGGATGATTTTACATTGGCGCGTGTAACAGAGCTGAACAGCAGCGGTCGCAAAAATATAAATTTTCATATATTATATGAAATAGAATTATTTCTTAATTGGAAATTATACATTTGATTCACAGCCTTCCGGTGCTATTATCTATCTATTATAAATATTTTGAAAGGATATTTAGACCTTTTTTGAAAGCAGCAGTAACGCACTAAAAAGTATGCAATGAAAATGTAAATTGCAATAGGGATCAGGAAATAAGGCCGTAACAATAAAATAATTTAACTTTAAAATTTCTTTGATTCCTAATTAACATGTTTTAAATTATTTTTTAATTTGGGTGAATTATTATTATACAGTCCTTTCTAATTAATAATCAAGATCTACATTTATAATTTTCTTTGTTTTATATGTGTTGTTCAATCCATTTTTTTGTCCCCACTTGTGCCCTTTACTCATAGTTTGTGTGTGTGTGTATTTGCAGCA